CCCACCCCCCCAATGATTGTTTACCTGTCAGGGATGGATCTTCAGTATCTTTGCTAAATCACGTGCACTGTCGCCCGACCAGCGCCATCAACAACGTGCCTATCAGGACGAAAATGTTTCCCACCCACCGGTCGACTCGAGTAGCCGAGTGTGTTGGAGAACAACAACGCTATCGCTAAGCCCGGGAGTCAAGCGGGTCGGCTAAAGGTGGACGAGGTGGGTGTCGTCGGGGTGAGACGATCGGGCATCATCTGCCAAAAATTGTCCACATCAGCGAAAAATCAATCCCCTGTACGACCTACAGTGGGGCTGTCCACCTCTTACACCTACCTCATGTTTAAGTATACGTCTGTTTGTTTGATTTCAGTCGTCGACGGGCGACTTGGACCTGCAGTCGCATGACCGACAGCACGCCCAGCATCCAGCCAGCAACGAGAGCGTCAGGTACGCCGCAAAATATATAAGCCATTCATGTGGGATGCGAACTGTTTTAAACTGTTCAGAGATCCAAATAATTGCTGATCTCTGTGTGCGCAGTGCTAACAATCCGCAAGGCGAGGCCGTGAGGCGGACAAAGGACGTCGAGGCCGACGACTACGACCCTCACGACCACCAGGATGTCGCCCACCCCACCTCGTGAGTATCGGCGGCGAGATGCCCGGTCTCCAGGAAGGCGCGAGAGGGCCGGGCCCTTTTTCTCACATCATCCATTTGCCGCCTGCTCCAGGAACGTGGACACGCTGTTCCACCTGCTCAAGGGCTGCATCGGCACGGGCATCCTCGCCATGCCGGAGGCCTTCAAGTACGCCGGCTACGTGGTGGGCTTCATCGGCACGGCCATCATCGGCGTCATCTGCACCCTGGCCGTGCACATGCTGGTACTGCCCGCGCCGGCGAGAGGAGAGGACTGGTGCATGGGGAAGGCAGAGCTCTCTCACTCACTGACACCACTCTTGTCTACAGATCGACTCCGAGTACGAGCTCTCCAAGAGGAGGCGGGTGCCCAGTCTGAGCTACCCCCAGGTGGGGCGCGCAGCCCTGGAAGACGGACCGCCCAAGCTGCGCTGGCTCGCCAGGTATATGAGGTAAGCGGTTTTGTTTATTTTCCATCACCCCCCCCCCCTCCCCCATCTTTTGCTGTGGACTACCCGGTAGTCACTACCGAGTAAGTTTCTATTCTACCGGCACGTTTTCAATGCCTCTCCTTCATTGCAGCGGCTGTATCAATACATTCGTTCTGGCCAACCAAATGGGAGCCTGCATCGCCTACATCATCTTTGTTGCCTCCAACATGCAGGCGGTGAGTACTGTTATTGCTACTTTTTTGTCGTGGCGCGTATATCCGAAATGACAGCTTTCTGACGCGAACTGATGCTTCAGGTCGTGGACACGTGGACGGGAACCGCGCTGCCCCTACGAGTCTGGATGGTGATTGTCACCGTGCCCCTCATCCTGCTCAGCTGGGTGCGCGACCTCAAGTACCTGGCGCCCTTCTCCACCATAGCCATCTCCGTCACGCTGGGCAGCTTCGGGGTCATCCTGTACTACGTGTTCAGGTCCATCCCCGTCCTGGACGACAAAGTGGCAGTCGGGGAACTCTCCAAGTTCCCGCTCTTCTTCGGCACGGCCATGTTCTCCCTAGAAGCCATGGGGGTGGTGAGTATATCGTTAGCAGTCATGAATGGCACAGGCACACGTACCGGGGGGTGTATCAGAGAGGGCCCCGCAGAGTTACAAACCCTCTTGAGCCGGAGAGGGGCCATGGCGCCTTACAGGCGTAGGCAAGTACGCAACACTGCGTAGTCCGCTCCACACCCGGTACGTCGGTAAATCTAAACCTGTCTTGAAAAGAGCCCCGGAGAAACCCCGAGGCATGCAAGGGGGTCTGGAGGGGCTTCCCCCAGAGGGGGGAGGGGGGCAACGTGACGTTCCAGGAGGAGGTTCTCTTTCCTCTTGGCCCGGACGCCGATCTGGACTCGTTCCTTAGCCTGAAGGTCAACGCCAGACACGCTGAAGGAACGTGACGGCTCGTCCATGCTCACCGGTCCCCGTTTGTGATTTCCTTCCAGATGATCCCCCTCAAGAACGAGATGAAGAACCCCAAGGCGTTCGGGGGCTGGAATGGCGTCCTGAACCGCGCCATGGTACCCATCGTCGTGCTCTTCATCTGCCTGGGGCTGTTCGGGTACCTGCAGTTCGGAAACGCCGTTGAGGCCTCCGTCACCCTCAGCCTCCCTCAAGATGAAGTGTGAGTATATACTCATATATGTCATCCAAAATAGTATGTCGGATTGCTAGCTTGATCTGGTGCTGGCTGGTTTTCGAGTCCTATTTTGGGTCAGTAACAGGACTCTGGCCGTTTGCAGCCGGGCTGAGCCCCTGTGGGGGTAGGCCGACCCGCCGTACAGGTGGGCTAGGCGGGCCGGTCCACCCCCACAGGGGCTCGGCGCCTGCTCCGCTCACCGGACGTGAAGTTTGGCACCGCCTAAAGCCGATAGAAATTGTACAACTCGCCAAAAATTACGACTCAACTTTAAGTTCCCCGCTGTCAGCGAGGTGCGGTTTACGCGCGGTGTGTGACGACGACTTTTCCCTCCCGCAGCCTAGCGCAGTGCGTCAAGCTCATGATGGCGCTCGCCATCTTCGTCTCGCACGGACTCATGAACTACGTCAACTTTGACACCATCTGGACCAAGACTCTGCTGCCGCGGTGCGAGGCCAGAAAGTTGTCACCGAGGACGCAGCTCCTGTACGAGTACCTAGTCCGCACCGCCATCGTGCTCGTCCACTGTAAGTATAGTTTCTTTTCACAGCCACCTCGTTCCCATTTCACTGCATTGCGCACTCACGTTCACGGCGCCTCCGTTTGCAGTTACGCTGGGCGCCATCTTCACCAACCTGGGTCTGGTCATCTCGCTCGTCGGAGCATTATGCTTGTCCATGATCGGACTCACGTTCCCAGCCATGATCCACATGGCCACGTTCTGGTACTCGTGCCCCAGTCGGCGCTCCTTCGTGTGGCTGGTCGTCAGAGACGGCGCCGTGGTGGTGCTGGGCTTCGTGGCGCTCGTCATCGGTACCTACGTCAGCATCAACGACATTATAAAGGACATGAACAAATGAGCGAATAGCATCATCAGACCAAACTTCAAACCATTAAGACTGATGACGTGCATTTTTATAAGCAAACCTGTGATGCCATACAATGCATAAACTATAAATAAAAATATTTTTCTGTATTTACGTAACATAAGCGGCGTGTCACGTTATTATAGGACTACAAATAAGAAAGGAAGCATCCGGCAGATAGATAAGAAGTTCGGAAACCCGAACCAGCCCACATGACCCATAAGTTCCCCTTTGCGGAGAAAAAGTGAAACCTTCTAAACATTTGAATGATAGGACAAACCGTATATTTCAAAAACCAATACATCTAAATAACATCAAAATGAATCTTCTGAAAATTTTGTTGACTTTCATGCTACATGACACATTTAGAAAAGAAGGATTAAATCAAAATATTAAAAAATGAGACCAAGGCATGAATGGAAAATTAATGCCTATTTCAACATGGTAATACTTCAGATAGATAGTAACTTTAGTACAGAGAAGAGGGTAAGCAAGCATGACTAGTTAAGATTAGAAATAAATACAAATCTAACAACACTAACCCACTTAAATGACCACAGTATGATAAACACCATAAGGTAACTTCAAGGTCTTTCAGTTCTTTTCTCCATATTATCAGTGGGACATCATCCCACTGAAACGAGACAAACTTTTTTTAACAACAAAAGATCAACATAAAATAAAAAGATGTATTACAGATCACTCTCATCTTCACTATTTGTCAAAACATCATCACAATCAGAACGATCACCACCAACATTTAAAAGGTTTGCCACTCTAGATAAACTACCATAGCCTGGGTCCGCTTTTCTTGATTTCTCCACTCTTTGAGAAACACTAGATGCATTGGTGGTATTTGCTTTAGTTTGACTGCGAGAGTTGTATAAATTGTGATCTGTGAATGATGCAAAATAGTCTGTTAACAGTTCAGTGGTTTTCAAAGCATCTTCCAATAATTTTTGTCTGGCAATCATTTCATCACTTTCAGCATTAGATATAACAGAATATCCAGGGCCTAGTCTTATTGTTTTCTTTTGACTTTCTTCCTTCTCTGGCATTGATCTTGCAATAGAAGTTTCTTTTTCTCTTCTTGTAATACTAGTAGGGTTTCCACTGGATTCAGCACGACTAATGGCAGCAGCTGCTGCTAATGAGGCAGGTGTAGAACGCTGTTTGGGCAGTGCGCCTCCATGAGTATCACTATGACGTTTCTTCGGAGTCGAAATTGAATGGAAGCCCTTAGAATCCAATACTTTGGCTGGTTCTGATTCTGTCCTCTCTGCTAGACCATGACTCTGGAAATATTAGAATTTGCATCACATTGGTACTAAAATTTAAAAAAGCAATCATTTGGAGTTCAAAAAATTATTTATCTACCTTGACTAGTGATCCTTGCAATACGCTTTCGGGGATAGATTCTTTTGTACCAACATGTGGGTCCAAATCCACTGAACCGTTACTCTCTGGTTTTGACTGTGTGGATGTTGGAACAGTATATTTGGTGTTTCCAAGAAGACATTCTAACACAATCTGTCTAACTCTGCCAGTCTCTCTCTCACCTTTGTAAACAATCAAAATTTTACTTAAACAACAAGAAAAAAGGCAGCAAAAGGCAGGTAATACAAAGGAGAAAATAGAATGCTTACCAGGAAGGTGTTTATGGATTATGAATGCAGCAATTTGATAGGGATCACTATTGAGAGATGGATCGGATTCATCTTGAAACCAAAGCACCTCCTCAACTATCTTCCGTGATTTCCACTCAAAGGAAATTGGAATCTTCATAGGTGGATTATCATACTCTCGACCATTGTACCAGTGTTTGAAACCGCATTTACAACGTACTCTGGGAGAATTCACTGGGGTAGTTGTTTTATCTCCATTTTCATACAATATTTTCCCATCAAAATGAACTAAACGTAACTGATTGCTAAAAATATAATGAAAAATCAAATTATAACTCATATTTCTTGGAAAGACATATAACCAAGTTCATGCCCATGGTGACAACTTGCCTTTCACACCAAGAACACTTGTCTAGATGCTGTGATTTCTCAACAACAAGCATATCTTTGCGAGCATTGTAAACACATGTGATGCCCTAGATACAGAGACAGTCGGATAACTGAAAGATGGCAACTAATTAATCATCAAAATTCAATTACCACAAAAATGAGAAGTTTTCCTTACGTAATTACTAAAGGTATACACTTGGTTGTCCTGTAAAATTCCTCCAGCGCTCTGCATTTTAGCGATTTTATATAGAATTCCATGAGGACGAAGCCATTCAGAGTTCAATGGAAGTAAGTTTACACTGCTACAATGTAAACAGCGGACAAGCCGCCTTTCCTGAAGAGCTACTTTGGTAGCATGAATAACTTCAACAGGTTTCATATCAAAAGCAGCTGAAACATTACATCAAAAAACATGAGTTTCTATACTCATACCACACTACTCAAAAAAATGTTCAGAAGCTTGTCATTTTGTAAAACTTTAGTTTCCAAAATGCTTATGTAATTTCAAGAATTTCACAAACAGACCTCCTCTTTTGAAATTGCAGTAATATGTATCAGCCACAAGAGATGGATCCACTCCCTGCTTTTGATGAAAAAGTGCATCCATGCCAGATGCTAGTTTTGATAAATATGAGTCTTGCATGGTTTTACCCCCACCTGTAGGAGAATAATAAAATACAAATAAATTACACAACTTTATAGATCAACAGACTTTTACCAAAATATGAAAACCAAAGGACGTTGGACCCTACAAAAACATACCAATAACCAGACAGTCATTTTCATTGAATTCAATATAATTTTCAATCATTGATTGAGACACTCCCCACACTTTCGGCAAAAGTGTACGCGGAAATAACGGATGGTCACCTAAAAAATTCAATGAAGTTTAACAATCATAGGACATCCAAGAATGCAAAAACTCACTGCACAATGAGTTTGGGCTTACATCCTCTTATACCGACAAGTGGGATATAATGGTTGCGTCCAGAGCTGCTCCAGGCTAAACAAATAGGTTTGTTCAGCTCACCATTACGATCTCTGCATTGGTCAGAAGGTATCAAACCAGGAAGAAATAATGCTAAAAAAGGGAAAGATAAAAATTTTTGTGTAAGGTTATAGATATACAACTTTTGTTTCAATAGTATAACTAACAATTCACCTGAATAGTCCCCTGAGCTCTGCATTCCTGCCACAGAATCTACGAGAAGAATAGGTCTTTTCAACACATTCGCAAGACCAAATACATGTACATTCCGAAGCCCCAAAATCTCATTATCACTTGGTGAATACTCAGGATCACATTCAGCTATAATGTCTTTCCATTCAGATGCATTTATAAAGTCATTTAGCAGCTCCTATGTGGGAGAATCACATTAAAGATAGAATTTAAATACTCTATGCAAAATGAGAAAGATATGAAATAAGCCCAGTAAGATAATTTACCTTGTATTGCGGCAAATTTTCTGTCAAATGTTGTTTCAGACCAGTTCGGAGGGCATGCCAAAATAATTCCCTTCCCACAATAGCTCGTGAAACTGCATGAACCAAGCAATGTCCATCACCATCAACATGCAAAGGAACTAAAGCATCTCTGAAAAACAGAATAACAATTTACTTTACATTAGTTATTAATAGAACAAAACTGGATAGCTTGCGGACCATGAGAATACCATGCAATACATACCGATCATTGTTAAATGAACGTAATAGAGACAATGTTCCAGAAAGGTACCTAACACTTCCTGATTCATCTTGTCCATATTCTGGTAATGATATATGATCAGAATCAATATAAAAACTGCGGTCACCTAGCCAGCTACAGTCAAAGGTTGCACTGCAGAGATAAATTTTTAAAAAATAATTACAAAATTAACAAGTACACGGATAAAAAAACAAATTATTGTGATGCAATAAATGTCTTACCAATTTTTAAGCTCATGGATTGTTTTGGCTCTCCCTGCTTTATCTATTCCATATATGGTCAGAAGTGGTGATAGAAGTTTGCAATGATATGTTGATAGGCCATAAACCTTGGTCTACAATTTAGAAAGAATATTTTTAAAAACTTCATAGATTTCTTCCCATATTTTTAAAATACAGTGCAGATAAAGACTTACAACTGGAGTTTCACTTTTTGAGGGAATGTCAGACAACAATTTTAAAAATGCTAGAAGTGCTTCACGACTGTCACGAATTTCAGAAGCATTTAACAGAGAGGATGCAGGATACTGTGTTTTGCAAGACCAACAATAAGTGTCTTGTGCTGGTTCTGAAAAAATTACTACAGCATTACAGCCTTTTGCTGGACATGTTCCAGATAAGATTCTTCCAGGAGAGACGGATGACAACATTGTGACCAAAAAACACCTGAAACATTAGCAAATGCTACTAAAAAAAGAACACTTTACGCTGATGTAGTTGCATGACGTAAAATGATACACCAGAACAACTAAGATAAAATACTAAAATCATTGTATCATTTATAATGTTTTTTTGGACAAACCTGAGTGTCTTTGTGCACCCTTTACAGTGGACCTCCGCCTAAGATTTACCAACCAACAATCATTTCTCACCAATATCCAATTGTGCAAGCAGCAGTTGCACATTAAGTTAAACCTGAACAACTGCTAAGACGAATGGAAATAAATTGACTGAATGTGGCTAAATCCCATCCGTCCGTCGTATGCTCAACTCATCACATCAATGAACTGAACTGATAATGATATCAACAACAACAAAGGAATAATGAGAAGTTTACAAGCCAAATCTTTATCTAACTTTTAGGTCACTTCAGGTATGGAAAGAAACAAATAACAAAAATATTTGTGAAAAAAGTATTCAGAGAGAGAGTTTGAAGTTGTTAAAGGATATTTTGACGACTGAGTAAAGTCTTGTCGTCGTGATGACATGTGTTGACTGTGCAAATTCTCATACGTAGTATAAGGGGCGTAAGGGGGCACCTGAAGGGGGGGGGGGGTGGAGGGAAACAATCGAAGACCAACACTCATCACACGGAACGCGGAACGGAACGCCGGAACGACGCAAGCAGGGTTGCCAGACCGGGCGATTTTGCGCCCGCCGGGCGATTTTTGGTGACTCCGGGCGCACTTTTAAGGTCCAAATGCGCCCGGGCGATTTCCGGGCGATTTTTAATTTGAACCGGGCGATTCGGGCGACTTTCCGTTTTTTGGGTGTTTTTTGATGTTTTTTAGGCCTATTTCATCCGTTTTCGAAGGAAATGTGTAAAATGCCGATGTAAGGCACGATAACAAAGCATAATTACAAACTTTATGCAAATATTTGTGACAAAACACCCTTAGACAAGCTGGAATTCCCGGAAAATCCCGGGCGCCAGCCGGGCGATTTTTGAATACCCCGGGCGATTTCGGGCGTTTTCGGGCGATTTCATTGGCCGAACGGCTCCGGGCGCACTCGGGCGCACTTCGCGCTCGGCTCGGGCGACTTGACTCGCTCGGCTCCTGGCAACCCTGGACGCAAGTGCGGTTATGTTGATGTGTAGTGTTTACGCCGTGCTTGGCGACAGTTCTAGTTTACTTCTCTGTACATCTGTTGCACTAAATTGTTGACCGATAACCGAATAAATTGTGCCTCTTTTCGTCTTCCTCTACCAAGCAAATGACGAAGACATTGTCTATGAAGCAAGATACTGATTCCTCCTGACAAGACGAAATGGATAAAGCCCGCGCCAACGCTCTCGTTGTGTATCCTTTTCATGTATCCGTACTCTAAGATCCGCCTTGCTCCTCAAAACTTTGATAATTCGCACCATTATTACAGCCAGTTATTTTACTCAAGACAATTTGACTGTTGTATCTAAACTGCACTTCCTCACACTTAAATTGTTGAAGGTTAGGTTGTGCGAGTGGAGTTTCATTGTCATTTTAAACTGAGCCTTTACTCACGTCTTTTTGTTCAATTTCAATATCTATGAGACTCAAAAACACTATTTACGTGGATTACTTCAGTCAACTTGTATTACATTTTGCTGTCTTTAATTAACCAGGAAATATGCTATTTGCCTATCACACCCTGTTGAGTCATATCTGTTGGTTTAAGTAAAAACTGTTGTATGAGTTACTTTTTTAGTTTTAAGAAGCTTCAAGAAAGAACATTTTAACATTGTCCTTAACCAATTGCCTTAGCATTGATAAGCACCGAAAGCGAAAGAATATACTCCGGCGCTCATATTTGAAGAAAATCAAGTGTGTGAGGCCTAATTACAAACCAGAAGATGTGATGGCAGCGATGCATGCTATTTGGAAAGGCATGTCTCGAAGACAGGCAGCCAAGGAGTTCAATATACCCCGCTCAACTTTACTTGACAAACTTGATGGTAAAAGACCTGTAGAAACATCTCCAGGTCCTAATCCATTTTTGACTAAAGCAGAAGAACAAACCCTTGAGTCATGGGCCATAGACCTTTATCAGCGAGGTTTTCCTCTCAAAACTGAAGATTTGAAAGACATGGCCCAGGCTGTCATTCAAAACAATCAGCGTCAAACATCCTTTAAAAATAGTCGCCCTGGTCGTAGTTGGATGCGGAACTTTTTGCTTCGTCATCCCAAAGTGTATGAAATAAGTACTGATATGGCTGCAGGACCTAGAAGAACTCGCACGGTCACCACACGTGAAGAAGTTAGACAATGGTGTCTGCACGTTCGTCAATTCCTGACCTCCCTAGGACATGAAAATGTTCTTGACTCTCCACATCGGATTTTTAATGTCGACCATGCTGAATTTCTTTTTGATTCATCTACAGGTCTTTTAACAGATCAAGAACGTAATGACCGTATAGATGAAAAACCTCGTGACAGTTCTGATCAATCTGACAGCCTACCTGTTGGAATGGATTATATCAGTATAGTTGCAACATTCACTGCAGCTGGAGGAATGGCTCCTCTCATGTTTGTTTACCCCTCTCAAGGAATGCCACAAGAAGATTTGGATTTATTACCTCCAAAGTGCATTCAAACCTATTCAGAATCTGGTCTTTTAACTGGAAAAAGTTTTCTTGACTATATCATTTTATTTAGAAAATGGCTTGAACAAGAAAATACTACCCTCCCAGTTTTACTTCTTGTCGACGGTAGACGGAGTCGTCTCAACATTGATGTAACACGTTACTGTGAAGAGCAGGGTATCATTTTATATTGTCTCTTTCCAACTCCAAAAGCAGCTATCTCAGAGATTCTTAGCCCAATTATTCATGATTCTTCCAGCAGTTTAAATAAGATAAATTTTGCTTCTCGTGTTCATGAAACAATTAAAACTCTGGAGGGCTTTGAAAATTCTGGTGATCTCCCCAGTATTACAAATGTGCTACCTCATTTGCAATCAATGCTTCAAACTTTAGGTGAAGTACGTGCTGAACCTGTGGGCAGCTTCCCACCACCAGCCTACTCCCTTCTTACAAATAACTGCAATTTCATTGCCCAAGGTCGAAGTGAAGAGAATTGTGACTCAGATTGTGAATTTGACGTTGAACTAACCCCAGTTGAGGGGGAGATTGAAATAGAATTTCCTGACGTGGATAATGTTGATCCATATGCAATGGCACTTCACCCTGCTTTACTAGCAGATTCTGATGTTCCAAAATATTTGATCTTTCATGTTCCCCCCACGTCTCCAAAGAAAACTGAACCTACACCTACTCTGGCATGTACATCAGAGGATGTGTGCATTGAAGACAGGGTTGATCAGCCAGATGTTAAAGCTCATCTCATTGTCAAGCCGCTTTCCAGCCCTTTGCCAGAAACAGATAACGGAATCGCAAAGGTAGAGTCGGAGATAAATGATGTGCTTGATACTATGTTATCCTTTGGAACTTCTCACCAGGTGGAATGTGAGCAATTGTCGCCATTGCAAAACTCTTCTGAGGAACCATTTCTTGGGTTTTCTTCAGACAATGGTACAATTAAACAAAGCATGTTAGATGCCCACAGCTGCTTGCGTTTTATAGAGTGCATTATTGCAGAGAAAAACCTCCTCCAAGATTTTAAGCTTGCAAGTACTGAACGCCAGTGGAATGGTGCTCCAGAGGCAAAGTACTTGTTTGAAGTTTGGCTTGCAGCAAATGATGGGAACTGTAGATAGACTTTCTCAACTTCCACTCTAGTCATTTTATGTAGATTCTACATAATGAACAATACCATTCAGTGAAATCAATAATCTGCTTGTTCCTGCTCAGTTACATTTGTAAATGTTCTACCTCCTCATAAGTGTAGGGTCTAAAGCATGGGTAGTACATGTGCTAGTTTCATTACAGCTCTTTGTATTGAAATTGTAACTTCAAAACCTTATTTGATTTTCATGTATCTTAACTCTTTAAGCTTGTTGTGTTTGTCGAAGGCGTACTTGATCCATCCTGTTTTAAGGATGAGCAAGATAATTGTACCCTGCATGTTCCAGGCACAAGTCCATCTACATTCTAAACTGTATTTCTTCTTATGCTGGCTCAAACTTGTCTTCTGTGATATGCAAATGCTGTCCGTTGGAAAGCTAATTTTCAGTGATTTGTTATTTCATTTTACTGAAAACTTCTTGTAGAATATTGCTTGTGAAGCACTTTTTTTTTTTTTGTTGTATATTTGTATTTTCATTCTCTATTGTGTTATTTTTGTTTTATATCTCATTGAATTGACTTTGTTTAACAGTTTTACTGGCAAACTTGTGGGCCAACAATTTGATTTTGATTCTTCTTACTGAGACTCTGAAATGTTTATTAAACCATTGACTCTGTACTGTTTATCTACTCTTTTTTTAATTTAGAAAGTAATTTTAACGGGGATTTTTAATGCTGAAATTATTGCATTATTTTTTATACTTCTCTTTTTAAATTCTCAAAACTATCATAAAAGACTTTTGTATCAAACCTTAACACATTCTGCAGTGATGTTGAAGTTCCATTCCCTTCTGAGAGGGAGGCTGAAATAGCATACAACGTTCTAAGAGTTGGCTCAGAGCCTAAGCGCAGTCAAGTTCAGAAATATATTACCTGTGACCGGGACACGTTAAAAGTGTAAGTATAAAACCCAAATGTAGAGATTCTCCACTAATATTTTCTAATGGAATCCTAAATTAATGAAAATTTGATCAATTTTTCTGTGTTTAGGAAATTTTTGGGTGAAGAGGCTCGGCAATTAAGAGTAGCAGTAAATGGCTTTATGGATCATCTAATACTTTGCACTGACACAATTGCTAAATTCGGGCCTCCCTCAGGAGATAGTTATAGTCATTATTGAGTGAAGTAACTTCCCCTTCAATCAGAATGCCAGAACATACACCATCTCCATCACCAAGTCGTGCAGTGTATGGATTTGTCTTGTACTTGGGGTCCTGTTCTGCACTTGGTCTTTACTTTGTGTGGGCCATATTACCAGACGCTATCTTGCATTCTTTAGGTCTGACTTACTGGCCTATGAAATCATGGGCTGTTACCTTACCAATTTATGGTTGTGTTCTATTAGCTTTGTTTGCCTTTTTGTTTTATCCTGGCCTTAATTTCATGATTGTTCCACCTGTTACTGATATGCGAACTATTACTGACAACCATTCGATACCTTTAGACGAGACAATGGTTTCTGAAATACCTCCTGCGTCAGACTTGTCATTGGCAGAAGTTTGTCATCACTTATACCTTGATAGGAAATTATAATTTTTACTGTAAGGTGAAAAATTCATTGAATACCATTTCATGCCGCATGTTAAGCTGAAACTGTGGCACTTACTTTCACTTCAAGTACATCTCCCAGTGATCTTTTCCTGTTTACTATAAGAACTATAGAATTTTTTCTGATGCCCATAAACTTCAATGAGGTCAAAAATTTGTACAGTATGCAATGTGTTTTATTGCTAGTTTAAGAATATAAAACAAAAATAAAATTGATGAACACTTAAAATTGACTAGCTTCATTTCCATTTCTGATTCTTGGCACTCAGTCATCACATGCATAGATTTTTTTCATATATGAATTGAGCGAAACCCAAATTTCCCACAAAACCATTGCTAATAGCAAATGTCAATCTACACACAAATTTGAGTCCTTTAAACTGTAGCCACAGCATATCACAGCAAATTTATCGCATTTTGAGCAAAACTCTGGTAGCTAAGAGACAAATAAGCTTGAAGTCCGACTCTAAATGAGCACGCCAAAAGCGGCATCTTCCCCAAACCTGAGGAGGAAAATTAGGGCTCCCGATCCCATGAAATATTCGTGCTACTGCCCGGCCTGTGAAGTTTGTGTCACGGTACATTAACACCATCTGCCTAATGTCATTGGCTATTTGATCACCATTTTCCAATTTTTCCTGAGGCAAAAAGAAAAAAAAATGTAAATTCTGCTACAAATAGTAGATAGTAATCCCTTATTGTCATATAGTTTACCTCAGTCTTTAAGTTAATAGTCATAATTTTTTCTTCTTGGAAATAAGCTCTCACTATTTTTTTCAAATCATTTGAATGCTTATCCCATTCTTCTGGTTTCGATTCCATTGCAGAAAGGTTTGAGAAAGATACACTAAAACAGATAGAATATTAGTACAAATAAACTGTTTAAATACTAGATAATTAAATACTGTTCACTCAAATACACTACCTTGTTACAGCGTTGAAAATTGTTTGCAACTGACTTAAAGCAGATTGCTCTTGCTTTACAACCCTGTCATGTAGAAAGTCAAGGGCTGCATCCAGTTTTTCAGGAGATAAATTTCCAGGGGCTCTTAGACGGAAGCCCAAATCAAAGAGCTCTACTTTTATTCCAGATCGTCGAGAGTTCCCATTTACTGTGAAAGGGTGATACAAAAATTAATGGAAAGAAAGAAGAGATGAATAATCCTGGTAGCACATGTTCAATACCTTTCGACCACTCAAGATTCATTAGTTCTCGTTTCACCACACCACTATCCCAGCCAATAGTATTAGCAATCTCTACCACAGGAAACTCAATTTGGGGGTTTTTATCAAGAGAATTGCCATTCATAAGATTCATAGCTATAGCCATTGCTAATGGTGGACACTAGTAAAAGAAAAGAAAATACATAATACAGTATTTGATTCTCAATTCTATCAAATATTTAAATGAACAACGGTTTCTGAAACACTCACTGATCTTGCTACCTCCCTAATATGTCTCATGCCTTTGTAGCTCTGTATGCGGCAGGAAGTATACGCTTTAGGCATTACTTGCACAAGTTTCTTGTCATGTAGCTCTAGATAACATAATAATGTTGTGATGTTCTCTTCCGGGAGATCCAAAGCAGCTACTGTTTGTTCAACACTGAACGCTACTTCATGATGGGTACAATGTGTAGATTTTTCCTGGAGTGACAAAAGGTTCATAAATGTCATACAATTAGCTGTAATTTCAAAAAAATATTAATCATTGCTTAAGTACTGTAAAATTGAACCTGATTATCAGAAATTTCATCAGAAAGCTTGTCTGAGGCATCTTGTACTTCTGGTTTTAGTTCTATAGTAGATGACACAAGATTTTTATTGGAATTCCCAGTGCTTTCACCACACTTACAGGGTACGAACACTCTTTGCAAAAGCTTTCTTATGGTGTGCCTATCAACTGAATCAGCAAATATATGTCGTCTCAATTCATTCAAATCCCTGCCCTGAAACAAATATTTGTATCAATAAAAATAGAAAACTACAATACATTGCTGATGACAGCAAACTGTACCTCACTATTGAGGAACAAATGACACTGAGATGGAAGGCCATCTCGTCCAGCTCGTCCAACTTCTTGGACATAGCTTTCAAAGTTGCGTGGCATGTTAAAGTGTATTACGGCACGAATATCAGCTTTATTAATACCCATCCCAAATGCCACAGTAGCCACAACAATACGTATATGACCTAAAAAAAAATAGAAGAATAGATATGAAAACAAGAGAGGTAGAACAGCTTCAATTTTTGGAAACAGTGATTTCAAACTTACCAGACATGAAGCCAGCTTGTACCTGTTTTCTCCGGCTAGAACTCAGTCCAGCATGGTATGCTTCTGAAATAGGAGACACTTTCCGCTTCCCAGTGGTAACTTCTGTGGAATTCTGAGGAAAAAATTAATCTTAAGTGTTCAAAAGCTAAAAATATATTAACATTTGGTACAAAAAGTGGTATGTTTTTTTTACAAATACCTACTTTGAGGCATGTTCTTAATTGAGCAGCAAGTCTTTCACACTCTTCACGTCGAATGCAGTATACAATAATTGATTTAAAGTCTTTAAATCCTGTTGAATTAAGTAGAGCTAGAAGCGCTTGATCACGTTGTGAATCACGTGAAACTGTGAGTAATAAGTTATTGGGTAAAGGTGTGTCTTTGATTACACCACGGCAACCATCAGGAATTTCCATATGCTCAACAATACTAGACACTGCTGCTTGAGTTGCTGTAGCTGTCAAACCTAACACAGTTTGGACACCAAGCTTTTCCCGAAGAACTTTAAATATAACAAGATATGAAGGTCTGAAGTTGTGAGACCACTGAGATACACAATGGGCTTCATCAATGCAAGCAAACGCTATATCTGGCAATGAACGCAACAAGCTGCCAAATCCTGTTTTTCTTTCCCCAGCAACAACTGCCTCAGGAGAAACCAGAAGAAATTGCAGTTTACCAGCTTTTGCCAGTTCAATGACTTTCTCCCGCTGCTTTTCAGTCTGCCCAGTATGGAGAGCTGCACCATTAATAAATGATGGGAGTCCAGAAATCTATAGTACATAAATAAAAAAAAAATAACAGGATTCAAAGTTAATTATCGGTTACAAGATTTAAAATACATATTCTCAAACACATGAGAGAATTTATATTCCACTTGCCTGGTCATCCATAAGAGAGACAAGAGGTGACACAACTAATGTTATGCATTTCCGTTTCAAGGAAAATAAGTATGCTGGTAGTTGATAGCATAAGGATTTTCCAGAGCCAGTTGAGAGGGTAACTAGTGTTGATAAACCTGATAAAATTCTCATGACAGCTGCTTCTTGACCAGGCCTGAAATTTTCATGGCCAAATTTATGAAGGCAATCATATACTTCAGATGGAGTATCTATGAGAGAACCATTCTGAGTCAAGGAGTACAGTGGTTCAACTGATCCAAACTTCTTCTCATAATTATTTACTGGCTCATTCATTATGCTCACATCATCATTTTCTTCTTCTCCATTCTCAGTTGGATCGACAAATACCATATCTTCAGTACATATGTCATTTGCTGTACTAATATTACTTTCTTCTGAAGGTATGACTTTACTACAAGGATCGCTGGTTTTGGAATAGTTCCGTGGTCGAAAATGTACTGTTTCCTTTTTATCTTTAGCCATTTTTTCAACTTCTTCTAGAGAGGGGAAGGGGCTCTCCTCTTCCCCTTCTTCACAATTAGGCATTAGACTATCCCCTTTCATTTTAGTGCATTGCCTTGCAAAGTGACCAACATCTCCACATTGGAAACACTTCTGTAAACCTCCACCGGCAGCACTGTCGCTGGGATCTAGACGACTCATATATGCACTTGCTTGATCAGAAAGTTCCCTTTTCTTGTTTTTCCACTGCTGTTTCTTGTACTTTTGAAAATTCATAGTCTTTTTTCCTCTGACAAAGACTTTCTTTTTCATGTTAATACGAACAAAGTTATCATTCACGGATCCACTTGCTACTTTTTTTTCTAAGACATCCTTCTTGGACATTCCTGCTTTAGCTGGTTTCTTGGTAGAGGATGACTCAGAAGTTTTAATGTTTTCACTCTCCTCTTCATCAGAGATATGCTTATCTTGATTAGATGAAATGGCCCTTTTAAGTTTCTTGCTAGGCTGAACAATAGTCTTGTCATTCTTCCTTCGCTCGGAGAGCACGGCCATTGCAGCTTCAATAGCATCTAGTTTTCTTTTCTTAACATTTCCTTCAGTATTTTCAGTTAATGGTGAAGTATTTGAACAAGGTTCATTACTCAGTGCTGTTACTACAGGATTAGGCTCCTGAAGTGCAGTGGATCGCAATGCAAGTCGAGTTTTCTCCTCCTTTTCCATTTTTCTTGGGCTTTTGCTTTCATTATCACTCCCGTATATAATATCATCATCACTTTCATCAGAGAAAGCTGACTGAGCAATTGTGGATTGGCACTCAGCACGCTGTGTTTGAGACAAAGCTACAGTTTTTTTGGTCTCCTGACCTGAATGTTCTTCAAACTGCATTACTCTTTCTAGCCATCCTTTGTCTAGTGATCGTTCAACTTTAGGCTTCGATGTCTTCATATCACTTTCTATCATTTTTTGAACGGCATTAACTGGGTGGAAATGAGGAGCGGCATTGTTTCTGACCATCTTGAAATCTTGATTCCCAAAGGTAAAGCTGGATTCCATTTTCATTTCCTTTTCAAGATCACTGACAGGGAATCCATCATCAAGCCCTTGGGAATTGTCCAAAGAAAATGATGAGTCAGATGTTGCAATGAGGCTGTCAGATGAAATTAAAGAACTTTTATCTTTTCCTCTTCCTCCTGCAAAAGACAATGATTTCCTTGGATTTCTCTTTTTAAACTTGGCACCAACAAAAAGCTTTTCAGACAGATGAAATGACGATGATGAACGATTGAGATTCCTTTTCTTTGGGGCATCATCATCAAGACTGCGAGTTTTATTCAAGTGAGAACCCCATACTGATGTTGGAAGAGGAACAGAGGTGTCGGTTGTCTTCTCAATACAGTCAGAGATGAGCTTGTCTTTTGTAGGAGGGACAATCTTCTCAGCAATTGGTCCTTGCATTTGGGTTGGGCTGATTGAGTTTGATGGACAATCAACCTCAACTTTTTGCTCATGGTTGTCAATTACGGTCTTCTTGCCGTCAGAACAGCTGCTATGACTAATTGAGCTATCATCAGAGACAGAGGCCTCAGCTGTTGGTTCCGATTTCTTTGTTTCAACAAAAGTAGCATCTAGCAACGAATCTTGCCCTAGCGCATGGATCTTGATTTGCCAATACCACTTGTAGGCGTCTCTGATTTCACACGGAGCTTCTTTGATGTCATCCTGTACAAAGTTTCGAAAAAAATTATAGCATTGCTATATTCCACCATGACCAAAGAGTAGACAATCAACAGCACACACACACACACCTTTGAAGGATTGTTCCCAGTTTTCTTTCTAAACTCACTTTCCCAAAGTTTTACTTTAAGTTTCGACTTATTGTACTTAAGTTTTATTGCAGGATCTGAAAAGCTATCCATCTTATCCTTTTTAGAAATCAATGTCGTAAAAATGTTATAAAAGAAAAAGCCGTCTTTGAACCAAACATGCTAACCACGAAGAACAAGACACTTCTACGTTTACTATCGTGTCTTATGTAAATAAATGAAATGAAGCATTAATAACCATAGCGAGCTATAGAAACAATGGGGCTACGAAGTACACAGTACTGACTGTAAGAATTATCAATTGTCAGGTAAAAGTAAAATAAATAATAAAACACAGAAACTATACGTAGGAACAAGTAAGCACTTTCCCGCCTTTTGTTTACATACAAGGACAAGGAGGCTGCTCCAAGCGAGGCTACTTTGAAAGCTACTATGAGAGATTCGTCAACTAGCCTCGGTCACGACACCTACGTTCCTTTATTTCGTCTTTGTTGTTTATTTACGTTTTACGTCTGCTGAGACATGTGGTGAACGAGAAGATCCAATTTGAGTTTTATCGTTAATTCCTAAATTAGTTACCTTCAATTCCTGGAAGGACCTGAAGAAGATGATATAAAGTGTTTGGTAAAATAAAGTTTCAGACTTACTGTCTTCGCTCTTCTGGCGGGTGAAACTCTAATTGCCGTCTGACTAAAATTAGGTTAGAATTGTATGCAATGATTACTCCACGGTTTAAAGTAGATCAAACAGATGCTGATCTGATCTTCACCATTCATGCACCATATGCAAGCATCGCTGATGCAGAGATCTATGCAGATCTGGATATCTTCTGCTTCTATGCCTCACCTTATTACTTAAGGTAAGTCATATACGTTGCTCCCTGTATATTGAGTTACAGGCGACACAATTAATTGTTTATCTTGGGCGTCTGTCGGCAGGATTCATCTTTCAGGCCACATTGAAGAAACTGATGCTTCAAAGGGTAGCTATGATGCGGACTCTGGAACATTTGTCTTGTCTGTTCAGAAAGTGACGAAGGGGGAGTTCTTTGAAAACTTAGATTTTATAACAGCCCTGCTCACTCCAAGCCAAAGTCAGAAACGTGACATTGCCAAACCTGTTGTTGAAGTAATTGATTGTAACAATGAAAATGATGAAAACAATGGTGAAGATAGTGATGAGGATGGAAGTGAATGGTACATTGACCAGTGCCCGTATGATGAACCATCAGAAGACTTTCTTTTATCGGCTCCACATTACGGGTTTGCTAACAAACTGTCAGGAGCATTCCAGAACTTCAAGGTAAACGATGTTTCCTAGACATAACCATCAGTTCTTTTTAGAAACTTATTTTAATTTTTAATTCTATTTTTCTGCTTTAGACTGAGTTTTTGGAGGTAGTTGATTTACCAGACCCTGACTCAACACCAATCTCAGAGAGATCCAAGTTACGATTAGCACAAGAAGCAGAGGATTTTAGTGATGATCATTACTTGGCTGATTGGGCACAACCAGAGTACATTGAGTCATTGCTAACCTTCGAATGTTGGTGGGAAAAGAGCTCACAAGGTGTGCTTTTGACACTTGACCATTGCAATATTTTTCATTGTTTGAATAATTGCATAGTTCATTAACATATTGTTGTAATATTTAGTTGAGTACCTGGATGAAGAAGTTGATATTTTAAAAGATCTTCCAAAGAAGGAGTTCTTACTGGACAAAAGAGAGGAGTTTCTAGTTTCATTTTCACTAATTGACATATTGTTCGGATATGCCTACAATATACGCAGTACAATGGGAGAAAATACTGTGGAATCTGCCTGGACAGTGAACAAATTAAGTGGAACTTTAAGTTGGTTTGAGGTATATTATAAAGATGTATATGAACATGTATTTAAAATATTTTTTATACATCTGATCAGATTTTATATTTTTCTTTCCTGTCCAAGCAGAACTTAACTACCTTAAGAGACGCAGCTGTAGTTCCTGTTCGTCGAAGTTTGTGTTACCCTTTATTTCGACATTGGGAACTTGCAATGAAAGTCCTTGGTGATGTAAATTGTATTCTGAAATTAGGCAAGTGACCTGATATAGAAATCATTACTATGAAGTGCCTCCCTGTGAGCATGGTGTGCTTTTTAACTTATCCATATTACAAATTGTATTTCTGTTGATAGGAAAAAAGCACATTCTTAAGTGCTTGTTAGAAATCTATGTCATGTTTAACAATAGTGAACCTCGTTACCTCTTAAATCAACTCTATATTAGAGACTATATTATATGGATTCAAAAAGCTTTTGAATCACAGATCAAGTCTCTTTCCGCTGCACTTGACAAGGTAGTGCAGTACATTTTTTTTCTTTTTTTCATTTTTTAAAAGCTAAATAATTTTTTATTCAATGTTGTTTTTTTGTTTTCAGATTGTACTGTGTAAGGCTGATGTTAGCTTAGACTTGAACGAATTAGAAATGGCAGCAGACCTTGTTCAAAAAGAAGAAGAAGAAGCAGCAGCTGCTGCCAAACAAATATCCCAAGTCACTCTTTGCGAGGATATTGCAACCCTTTCTCTCTCTGTAAAAAGGTCTAGATTCACTGTATTATGAAAATGCTGGCATATAATATGCTTGATATGATAAGTTTTTAATGAAAATTAATGTTGCAGAGATTGTGAGAGAAATTCGTCTGACTCATCAGATAGTGAGGATGATTCAACTTCATCAGAGGACTCTTCATCTTCATCATCTGGTTTGGATTCAGATGATCTCTCTGATAAGGAAGAGGAAAACAAATGAAAAGACCCATGACTTTCCTCAATTATGAAAAGGTATTTAATTTTAGAATTTTCCCAGATTTTATTATACATTACTTATTGTTTGTTAAATGTCACTTACTGAACTATTTTTATACTTCAAGTGTTTATTCTACTATTATTTGTTCATAGTAATTACTATTAACTTTTGGATCATACTGTAAAAAAATGAACAATCAAATATGAAATAATATTGGAAGATCACTCAAACAATGATTTAATCTTAAACCTCGGTCTATCGGGTCAATTTAATTTAAAATTAAGCCAGGGAAGTAGCCTACTGTAATGCTCAATAATTTTCTCCTTAAGTACATTTGATTTTTCATATTCCTCCTCACTTGATGTGCCATTCTCAATCTGACGCTGATACCAGTCAAATAATCGTTGTGTTTGGTTAACCAAGGCCTCCATAGAATCATGAATAACTTCTTGAGAGTTAGAATCACAAAATGTTTGTGGTACCAATGCATTACTACTTTTTTCCAGTTTTTTGCAGTCAACGTTTTGATTAAAGAGAGGTTCCCTTACTAAGTTATCTGTTTTAAGGTCTTTAGTCTTTGCTTTTTTTCTCCTTTTTTTTCCTGTTTTAGGTGGTTTTACCTGATGCACCACCTCTACAGATTCACTGTTACTGTTCTCTGTAGAGTATGGCTCACCACTTGCAGAATTCTGGGGCTCAAACCAGTTCCAGTTCTTAGAAGGTTCTTGTTCTCCTGGAATTCTGGCTAAGGAGATAATGGATGGATGTTGATCATAGGCTTTAGGTGATGACAAGTTGTAAATGTCATTTCTGGGATTTCTTGAAACAGCTCTGAATTGAATATCTACTCTTGATTCATCCTTTGGCACATACAGTAGCTCTCGTGGCTCTGCAGCAGTTAGATTTTGAAGACTTAGTTGATTTTTTATTGTGGACTCAGCTTGATGCAAATCTGTATGAAGGCTCTGGTTACCTTCTATGTAGCCTGTTTTTAGTGCAAAACGTTTGGAATCATTTTCAGAAATTGTTGAATTAAGCTCAGTGTAATCATGAGCTGGTTCATCTGAGGCATATCTGAGTGTTGTGATCTCGTCTTCATCCTGAGAATAATCAACCTGCAGCACAAAGATATTGGTTTTTGCAATTTTACACAAGGAGTTAAGCTTCAAGACTCTTACATAACAGATTTACTTACACTTGTAGTACTGTTACAGAAACCACAAGGATTATCTTTATAGGTTGATAAAATAGCTGCTTTAACATAGGGGTAGATAAGTTTACTGAAAGGAGTTATTACTTGGTATGCCATTCGCCCACACCTTTAAGAAAGAATTCAACACTCTTTAGGATTACAAAAGTTTTGTTTCTATATTTAATTAATTTTTCAAACATTTTGAATTTTTTTTATTATTTAAGTAGAATTTTGAATTAAAGTTCTAAAATTTAGTTATCATTTCCTTTGCCTTACCTATCTAATACAAGGATGTGGTCGTTATCTGCTCCCAAAATATCTCTTACTGGGGCCTCTGGTAATTCCTGGTATACAGGGATGTCTACTGCTTCGTTTTGTAGAAGATCAGTGTTATCTGTTGCCATTATGGAGTTAATGACATAAAAGTTGATGTCTGGAAAGCCAGCTTGATAGAGACGATTGCGTAGGGAACTGAGCCTATCAGAACAGTCAAGTGTTATTTTCCCTTTAAAATATCTGTTGAGTTTTAATTATTTACCATAAAGACACTTGATCTTCAATTGATTGCTTACCTTGCGGCCTGTCTTCTTCCAAAGACTCTACTCGAATTTAAGAGGGCAACCACTGTAATATTTTGCCCCACTAAATTAACTGCTGTCTCCCCACCAATTGTCCAGGTGGGAACAAGAGTACATTGATCAAGGAATGGCTCTTGAGTGGCATTGTGTTCCACTTTTGTTCTTGGTTCTAATGTGGATGTACAGCTCACAACTCCCAGAAGGAGAAACCAAGCGGCTGGGCTCACCATCCTACATTTTAGGAAAACAATTGTGCTTTTTATAAAATAAGATATTGTTGCTCCATTTAAAAAAAAAAAATATTTAAAACATGGTGAAAGGTTTTTGTTTTGAACCAGTTCTTTACTTCATTCTGATGGCATACTTATGACGCTACAGTACGTAATTATCTGATAAAATGGCGAACATTGAACTGTGCTGGCACAGCAATTAGGGTAGGGGTCAGAGGTCCTAAAAGCAAAGTGGCAGAATTTCCGAGCATATTGTCATGCTTCAATGGTCAACCATAATATATTTCTTTTAATGTACAAAGTGTTGAAGCAGTGAGTAAAAATTTGATAAATCTTTCTTAAAGAATTATAAACAAATCATGTATGTTATTCCTGTTTATTTTCTTAAAATAAAAAAAAAAGAACAGACATATGGCTGTTCTAGGTCCAGGTTGCTTTTGTGATCTTGCAATAACAAGAAGTCGCAAGCCTCGTATGTTTTAGTCATCTACTCTTTTTCACAATTACATAGCAGCACATATGTACTAAAGGACTTCAATCTAAATCTAGCTTCTAAACCTTTTAAAGTTTCGTCAAAGTTAAAGTAATAGTTAAAGTTATTACTCTAAAATGTCTACCAAGTTCCTCACAAGACATTCCTAGCAGGAATGGCACTTTCCTTCTCAAAAGTATTACTAACCTGCAGGGGAGAAGGCATCCTCGTGATGCAGTGTTGGATCTGTTTGCACAGCACTGAAATGACCTCCACTCTGCAAGATTTATTGTGATTACAAGAAAGGTTTGAGTCAAATGGATAGCCTTATCACCACCACAGCCATCTACAAAAGACATATAAGTTGCCTTCACAATGAATTACATTTTAATTTTTTTAAATGAGAAGGTTTAACAGTGTGAAAGTCTTTACTATCACTAGTAACACATTATAACACATTATTTAACAGTAATTAATAATTAACACATAGAAAATATATCACAATACAGCCAAATTCAATTTAATACTCATCACAACTCATCTCTGGTACCACTGGTACTTATATTATTTCTTTGAATGAAACTTATAAGTGTCTGTAATGATTCAGCAATGGTAGTGTAATACATTTCACTACTATCTAATGCACTTTCAAAATCAACTTCTTGCAGACACTTTTCATCTGAATCCACACACTCAGTTTTAAGAGCTTTCTTTCTCAGCACCTCTTCACGATTACTTAAAACTTTGTACCACGATAAAAAAAATTCGAGCACTTTTGCCAGTTTTAAGTCATTTTGAAACTCAGTGGAACATAAATTTTTCACTACAAGCAATGTATTCAAAACCTGTAATGTGGAAAAAATTGTTTAATATATCAAAATTTATGCAGTTTTCTTCAAAGTACAGACTAATATTATTACCTTCTCTATGGCATCATGTTCAGGCCTATACGGTAGATCTTTTGACATAACTGAGCCCAGATCATCCCTTCTCTGTGTTCGCCCAGCATTCCACTCACTTTCATACAATTTCCCTAAAAAGTCTGATAATCTGTGGCACCATCCATCTTCAACAATACGCGTCTCTAAATTCATAGCATCATACTGTCGTAGTTTTTCTTTTAGTTCCCGCTGTTTATGCTGCTGTATTTTTTTTACTGCATCACCTTCCTTTGACAAGTCCAAATGTTCAAATTCTTCCACAGCCTTTTTAACATATTTTCTTTCCAGAAGCAAATCATTTATTAATGTAATTACTCTTATCTATAAATTAAAAAACAAATCATTAAATTTAAAAGAGTAAATATACTACAAAAGGACAATCTTTCTTCATTGAAAAGGGTATCTCCTTAGAGATAGCTTGCCAAAAATATTAGAGGAGTACCTTAGTCTTCAAATCAGATGAACGTTCATTGTCGATTATATTACTGAAAGATGAAAGTCCTCCTTCCTCAATTAGTTTTGCCTGAGCAGCAGGAAATTGTCTGGTGAGGCAAGAGAGGGCATAAATAGATCGTGCTTGTACTGTTACATCAGAATCCAGTATTGATGCCTTAACCAGTTTAGACATGATACCCGCATGCAAAACGGCAATTTGTACCTGTAGATAAAAATGGGGAAATGATTTGCGCTAAAGCACTGATATAATACAAGAACAAAACAGCAATAAGTTCAATATACCTTTGGGTTACTCTGTGATGCTGATCCTAGGAGCCACAGAGATTTGGCTCGAACAGCAGGAGATGATGAGTTCAAAGCTGGTATAATAATATTTGTCAAGCTGGAAACATGATAAAAAGTTAAGAGTATGTAGACAAACATAATGAAAACAACAATTTAGCAGATAAGATACTTGCCCGCCAAGTCTTACAAATTCTCTTGCATTGTCAATTTGATGAACAAGGTATTCTAGATCCTTTAATATGGTCACAATGTCCTCTTCATCATTGCTGGTATTGAAAATATCCTTTGCCTTTCCAACAAGGTCACCAAGTATTTCCATATCAGTTTTAACAGTAAGGTTCAGTGACCCGAATTCCTCTTTCAAATCTTCATAAGAGCGGAATTTCTTCTTCACACTTTCCTGCTTGTCGGAGTCGATGGTTTCTTGGATTGCATCGTCAGCAGTGACATCTGCCAAAACCTTTTTTAACTCATCTTTGCTCATATACAGAGTCTCCGTGGAGCTTTCATCAGTTTCATACGATTCCACAACCAGCAAATCAGTTTTAGAATCACCAGTCTCAGAGGACTTAGAGGTATCAAGAAGTTTCACTTCTGTGTCACCAGTGTAAATATTCAATCTGTAATGAAGACCAGCTGGTAAAGGCTGGCCTTATTACGAAAACGTAATATTGTTAAAAATGATGGTTGCTCTGAGCATAGGGCAGGTGAATAGAAAAGCAAAGCTTACTTACCCTTGGCCACCTTTTGCCATTCTGAGGTAGGTACAAATTTGTCGGGATCGCTCTTTTCTTCATGTTCTGAATTCGTCGTCGTGGTGCTTGGTTCTCCACAGAGCACCGCCACAACAACAAAACTGGCATACAAACTCGTCCTCCAAATCATTTTTGTTAAACAAATGAAATAGAAATAGAAAGTCAAAATGCACAATTGCCTGTGTATGGGTAGGTAAATAAGTGGGCACCGGTGGTTATGTTTTCGTTGACCCTCTCACTCTCTCGTGCTTTCTGCTTCTGCTGGCCGCGTAGGCGTACGATTGCATCAGCTGTTGCCATGGTTTCGGATGATTTGGACCAATGAGGTGCAAGAACGTCTGCCTGGCTTATCCGCCATTTTTAAAGCGGGAAATTTTAAATGTTCTCTGGGACTTTGTGAAATACATAGGAGCTTGAGAGATATGAGCTAGGAAGAAACAAGTCGAACACGATTACCAAAGAAATTTTAATATAATTTTCAGCTACACATCTTCCAATAAATTATAATATTTCTTTCACAGTAATGTTGAATGTAAAATAATAGTTACTTTTCTGAAGATATAAATAAATTTAACGGACATGAGAATAGTTCTTGCATTTAATTGTCTCCCAAAGAGACCTAAAATAAAATTAATTTTGCTTTTTATCACAAGTTTGCTTTGAAATGAGAGAATGTTCATAATAGTATTTTTGGCTTCTGAATATATTTGAAACTTAGAATGTTTAATTGAACAGAGATGCATGCGCAATCGGTGATTTTAAATTTTGGAATGTCCATGGCATGCAAGGAAATCAACAACAAATAAAGGACTTGTTAACGGTTACAATATCTTAGAA